AATCATCACACTTTTTACAGACAGACTTCAGCAGGGCATACCACAGAATTCAGGAATTTCCTGAATTGATATATCATTTATTCCCGGCAAACCAGCACCTTTGTTTACATTTTTTCCAAACTAGAAACGTACTCACTTGTTTAACTTCTTCCATCAAACAAACAAAAATAGTTTTGTTTTTTTTTAATTGCTACTCAGATTTTAGAACAAGTCAACAACTTAAAAATTGCACTATGGACAAGTTCCTTGACCTCTGAACTTTCCAAACTAGAAACGTACTCACTTGTTTAACTTCTTCCATCAAACAAACAAAAATAGTTTTTTTTTTTTTTTAATTGCTACTCAGATTTTAGAACAAGTCAACAACTTAAAAATTGCACTATGGACAAGTTCCTTGACCTCTGAACTTTATTTCTTTACCTATAACATAAAAGGGCTGAAAGACTTCCAAAGTCCTTCCAACTCTAATGCCCATGAATTTACAATGACACAATTTAAGTATTAGAGGTTTCAATGTGAAAGAACATTCCTAAGGAATCACTGATAGTGAGGCATTTAAAAAAACAACAACAGATAATTTATGTTTAACAAGGAATCTGTTTTCAGATATTCACTTGTCCATATGTTAAACATAGGGAAATACACCAAGAGATATTCAAGTTTATACAGATTTCCCTTCTATAAGCCATTTTCTCCTTAACAGAGAAATTCTAATAATTCCAGGATGATTAACAGTTATGTAAAAAGGATACAAGTGCAATGCCAACAATTCAGCATCACCAAGTTCTTCAGCAGGAACAAGGAATGGGCAGAACATAATTGTGAAAATGTTTATTTCTTAAAGAACCTTGATAAATTGGAAACTTTTCAAGGGACTCTTAAAGAATGAAGGGCCAAACATACTTCTAACATACTGAAACTTAAAAAAGGAAAATTAAACCCCGTTTTTCCTGCTTTCACTAAAACAAGCCCTAATAGACATATTATTCACCCACAAAGTAACACTTTTATTCAGAAGGATTCCCATGAACTAACCCACCTGAGGATTCAGCTTTATGCTGCATCAAATAATACGCCATGTTTCTTGCACCCTGTTAATGATTCAGTTTTCCTCGAGAAAAATCATATTATTATCTTCCTTTTGTGCCATGTTACTGAGCTCTTTAAAAAGAGAAACTTGGAAAACTCTCCTTGAATAATAATCCCTGAGCTGCATGGATTTTTCTGTTGTTTTTTGTCAAAGCAGTGATTAAATACACCAACAATAATTTAACATATTTAGATATCATAAGTTTATCCACTGAAATGCCATTAGTTTTACTTTCTGAACCAGTAATTGATTTGAATTACACTAATAAATTTAATGCCTGGGGACAACGCTGGTAGTGCTTACCAATCTCTGTAATGACACAATACTGTCACATATCAGGGTTTGGTGATCATCTTATTCCTTCAAACATGGGGGCGGATTACTGGGGGGGAGTAGGCATGATTTACCCAAGTATCTTTCCCAGCACCTAACCCCACGGTTTTTAAACAGTAGGTCCTTCCTAAATCCTTCTTAATACATGGAGCCCAAAAGTTCCTATCTATTAGTTCCATGTCAATATCATCCTGTAGACATCTATTTGTAGGTCTCTCCCTAATGCTTCAGAAAGCATTTGATTCTGATTAGTGTTTTGGTTATCTGTTACTTAATCAGCAAATTCCTGGGAACCAAATTATCATAAATATTAGTTGCTCTACACAACTAGTGAGGCTAAATACAGCACAACAAGCCCATGGAAATAAAGAGAAGTGAATTTTTAAAGAGAATAAAGAATGACTTATCTTATGACCAAGTTAAGTTCTAACAGTATGGAGACTTTTTCTGACTTGTTCATTGATGAATCCCCCAGTACACAATAAGCCATCATTACCTATTTGGGGAATCAACAAACTGCTGATAGGACATATTATTTTATCTACCCATATACAGATTGAGTTCAGAAGGTAAAACAGAGAAGTCCTTTGTGGAGTACAGAAGCTCCAACACAGGTTCACACAGAAGTCTGATTCTGGCAAAGACTCTAGGATTTGGGATTACCGACTATAAAGTGAGAGTAAATTTACATCCTAGACATTGACTGGCTGATCAAGCCCGGGCCTGGGATACATCAAGCACAGGTAAACAAGAATTTCAAGTCATTACCCCTGTGCATAAAGGCAGTGCCAGTGCCAGCAATAACAAGTCAGCCTTTCTGGCATATCCATCAAAATTAAATCTTCAACTTTTGAAAAAACTAATATGTTTATTATGCTCCTTCAAGCTTAGAGGCTTAACTACCTGTGGAAAGGGCCTATAATTATGATCAATTACTTATGACTTGAAGGCACTTACAAAGACATCTGTCCTTTTAAGAAGCCTTTAAAGAACCAGCCATAGCATTGTAACATTGGTCCTATGGGGCACCAATAAGTCACAGGTATTAGGGGAGGTCCAACTTTGACAACTCTCCCTTGGAAAGAAAAGAATTATTGTCACCTGTCCTTGATTGCTGACCCTGCCTCAACAAATATTAGCAATCTTCAAAATCCTGAATTCCTAGTCTAGTGAAGCAAGTCATGGGGACCAATGACAGCCCCAAGGCAGAGGTAGAAGAGAAGAAACAGGAAGGAAACAAAATGGAACGGAGATACATAGGCTCGTGAAGATGACATCATCAATAATTTTCTCAAGAGTCACTGAATTTCATGCCATATGACTGATGGTCTTTTCTGACCATTATATCCAAGTAGTTTCTTGGTTTCAGAGTCTGTAATGTCTGGGTTTGAGAATGATTTGTTCTATAGAAAAGGTCAGGGGAACTGATGCTTTACTGGAAACTTGTTTCGAGGTGAGGGCCCCACTAATCAGCATGAAACAAGTAATACTTGGACATTGGAAGCATTTTTATATTTACAAAGTGCTCTCATCTACACTCTCTCAGCTTTTCCTCACAACTCCTAACAGGTAGGCATCATCATCACCACCTAATCTGTAAAAATAAGGTTTTAAAAAACTTTTAGGTAACTTCGTCTTGAATTTGTAAGTATAGTCTCCTGAAATTTCTCAGGACAAAATCCAAGTCATGGGTCAGTTAGAAATCTTTAAAGACAAACCAAATTAAGAGGATAAATCAAGAGAATAAGAATGGATCAGCCAAAATCTACCAACACAATGGCAAAAACCATCCTGTTACAGGGATAGTGCTTTGTAAAAGATAGTGTTACACGGGGTGCCTCTATAACACCTCTAGGTTGGAAAGATAGTATTTTATTTATTTACACATAAGCGCCCTTAAGTGGACACACTCCACGGGCAACAGACAAAATAAAACAAGAACTTGGATCCTAAAATTCTAGGGGTGGAATTTATCTTTTGGGAAGCACCTAGGTGATTCCTCCAGGAAGATAACTAAGTTACACAGGACAAAATGTACTCTCCCCTTTCCCTCCAATATCACAAAGACTCACAGGAAGCGTTTCTCTTGGTTTTTCAACAAAGAAAACACGCACAAAAGGTAATCTATTGCTGTTATGTATAATCCCATCTTCCTTAAAACACTCATTCTCCTGGCCCCATTATCCTTTGCACCCTCTCTTTTACAGGCTAAAGCAGAGGTTTATAATGGGGGGGTCCTATTTTCATAGCCATTTACTACCTTATTTACGCATTTATGATTCTTTGCAGCCTTCCAGCCTCAGCCTAACTGTGTTGGGAACAAAGCACCACACAAATCACACAGGATAAGGGGAGACAAGTCAAAGCCTCCCAGGAAGATCTGGTAGACACTTGGGCTCCCTGAGTCTCTGGAGGTCTTGGTATTTCAAAGGTCAGTCTTGGGTCTCTTGACTTTGATGACTTAATATTAAATTGTTTGACTTTTTACAAAAATATTTAGTCGTGCTTATTTACATAATTTCATCTACAGCGCACACAGTAGGTATGTATTTGAACAGGATCCCCAAATAGATGAGAGGACAGGAAGAACACCCCAAGACTTCCTTTCTCAAACACACGCTCCTAAGAATTGAGACAGGTAAAAATCACACCCTAATTTGTAGATGTTTCTGTGCATTCCTTTTCTACTTAAAACTACGCATATCTGTTTAGAAAAGAAAAGCATGACACACCACACAATGTCAACCACACAATGGGTAAATTCCAGGATCACTAAGAAAACACCATTATCCTAGTCACACACACTTTAGTTTAATTACTGGTTACCACACAGGAGAGGCTTTAAGAAATGCTGTCTCCCTATCCACTTTCCACATCCCCTCCAGAAAAAGCAAAAGCAGAACGTTTAGAATCTAGAGATTCCACATCTTAGATTCACACACATCACTACTTTTGAGAAGTAGTCTGAAGACCATGTTAGCCTAGAGACATAAAGTAATGTACACAAATAGGCAATATTCATGGAAGAAATTTTTTAGGCGACTCTGTTGGACGCTTATTTACCATTATGTAACTTCAGTAAGAAAAACTGGACGTGACTGGCAATAACATTCTTAAGTTGCTACTTTTTCGTAAAACTTTATTTATACGAGGCTCCACAAGGAAAGTTCTCATCCTACTAATTTTCATCGCATCCTGCCACTTCTCTTATTCTCAGCCTCTCAAAAATTCCCCAATGGCCAGGGAAAATATGCGGGGGCTGGCAGGGCACGTCTCAGGTTGGCTCATTCCCTAAAAGGCACCCAACTTCCTGGACCCCCTTTCATGGACAGCAGGGAGAAAACACAACTTGCACCGCGGCGGGGAAGCCTGCGCAGGTCACATTGCCTGACTCGTCTTTCTGCTCGCTGTCTGGCAAGGTCGCCGGCTCTGGCTTGCAGCTCTGTCGACAAAACTTACTCTCACTCCGTAAGGGCAACGGGCCATGCCTCCCCGGCCGCCCTCCCGCCTCAAGGATCCCCGGCCCTCCCCGGACACGCGCGGCCTCCGACGGCGCGGGCGCCGCTCCCCGGCTCACCTGACCACGTTGGGGTGCTCGAAGGTCTCCAGGTGCCTCAGCACCGCCACCTCGCGGATGGTAGAGAGCGGCATGCCCTCCTCGCCCGTCTGCACCCGCACGCGTTTCAGTGCCACGAAACGGCCTCCGTTCTTCAGGTCCCGGGCCTTGAACACCTTCCCATAGGCGCCCTCCCCAATCTCCGCCACGCACTCGTACTGCTGGTCCGCGCGGCTCAGGCCGTCCTTCTCCATGCCGCCCGGACACCGCCCGGCGCGGCACCGCTGGGGCGGACAGGGGGCGCGCTCGGCTCGCTCGCGGCCGCCGCTCGCCTCTTCCCGGACTCCCCGGCCCGCTCCCTCGCGCCCCGGAGCTCGGTCTCGCTCTCCCTCGCCCCCGCCGACTACCGCGCTCCGGCGCTCGGGTTCTCGCGGCCGCTGGGGCTGGATGGAGAGACCTCCCCGCGGGCGGGCGCAACCCCGGTGCCGCCGCGAAACTCCGCCTGCCGAGTCGCCAAGGAGCTAGCCGATCCCTCCTCTTCCCTCCCCGAAGCGCAGTCCTCTGCACAGACACCGAAGCGATTACATAGTCTGCCCCAGCGCGTCTCAGTCCACAATCCTTCCACCTAAAAGAAGAGACGGGAGGACAAGAAAAAGTGCAATCAGACATCCCAGGCGCCTTCCTCCGGGTTCCCGCAGACTCCCCTCCTCCTACTTCAGAAAGCCCCCATCGCTACCCTCGGCGCGCTCCTGCCCTCTCCCAGGCTGCTTAATCCTTCCTGGTTCCTCCGAGAAAAGCGAAGTTACTTTTCTTTCCCTGCAGAGCTGGAGCCGTCTTCGCGCGGAGAGGTTGCAGGGGCCCCTCGGGGATGAGCGCGCGGCGCGGGACGCAGTGGAACGGGAGGGGGCGTGCCGAGCAGCCCAGAGTGTGCCGGGAGCGCGGGGGAGGGGAGGTGCCGGGCACGTCAATGTCACGGCTTAATATTTATCCCTACATCATTGTGTTGCACTGCTACCCACCCCTCCTCCCCGGGCCTGGACGTGCAGGGAGAGGGGCTCCGGGGGTGCCGTGGGGCTTTCACGGATTGTGCACAAGCTGCTGTGGAGGATCTGTGGGTCCACCCGTATGGGGCGGCAGAATGTGGGTGGGGGCTCCCAGGACCCTGTAACCCGATGCTGGGAGTGTGCGAGAAGGGGTGGTCAGACATCTGCTAGGAAATTGCTTCCTTTCTTTCTACTTTCAGTTTTTCTACGAGGAGACATTTAAAAACGACTTGCACACACAAATGGTCTTTTTGGGGTAAAGAAGTCTGGATTGGAAACGGAATTCTTCCTCCGACTCGGAGGACCTCCCTGGTGGAAACCCATGAGGTCAGGGAGGGCTGGGGCTCCCGCTACTCGGGAGTGGAGGAACAGGGGGGCCCTGGAGGGGGGGAGTGGCCCAGGGGACCATAAGGGTGGGAGAAAGGGGTATTCGTCGCACTTTAGCTTGTCATCTCCTTAAAGAGTAACTTCGGGAGGAAGGTAGCATAACCGCGTCTCGCCCTGAAATTCTCAACTGATTTCAACCTCATCAAAACTCACCCTAGTCTTAAAAAGGCTGGGGGGTGGGAGGAGTAAATGCCAAGCCTCGGGGGTGAGAGAGAAGGGGCTGCGCCCTCGGGGCCAGGACTCGCGAACCTTTTCCCACTCCCTGGATCTTCTCCAGATCTTCTGGATCTTAAGTAGCAGAGGTGGCTGCTCCATTCCTCTTTCGGCTTAAGGCCTGGTCTCATCAAAAGCCAAACGCCCCCCCCCCCCGCCAAGCCCTCAGCACAACAAAGTGCGGGGGGGGGGCAGGGGGTGTAGGGGCACACTTCCCTCCCCTTTCAGTTGCAATCCAGGACCTAGGAAGCCTCCAACCCATGGCGGCCGCGGCCTCCGCCGGACATTCGCCACGCCGGCCGCGTGTCTGGAATTCCCGGGACACCTCGGAATTACCTGCCCCGCAACCGCTGGCCCGCTAGCCTTCTGCCAGGAATTAAAGAAACAAATGGCGCGATCCCCACGGTGTGATGGCAGAGGGGACCGCAGCGAGCGCAGAACCCCTCACACTCACTCCATTCAAAACTCTCCTTAAAAGGTGAAGGCAAATCCTGGGGGAGCCAAGGACCGAGCCCCCACCCCCAGCTTGCACGGGGGTCTGAGCCAGGCCTAGGGCCACACAGGTAGCCGAGGAGCCGCCGCAGGCTGCGCAGCCCGCCCCTCCCGCATCCCCCTCCCGCCCCAGTCCAACCGGAGGCTCAGCAGCTAAGGCAGCGTCGCGGACGTCCCACCCCCGCAGGGAGCTGCGCCCGCTGCCCCAGCCCGGCCCCGCACCGCCCGCCCTGGCTCTCCCCCCTCGCTCCCCGGACGGTCGGCTCCGGCGGAGAGAAACGGGAGCAACAGTGCCTTTTTCCCCCTCTCCTCCACTTTTTTTTTGTTGTTGTTGTTGCTTTCCCACGCTGGCTGAATGTGACTTGACCCCATTTCAAAAAAGTTTGACATCGTGCTTCAACATTTCCGCATTCCTCCGCGACTACAAAGGCTGCAGCCGCCTCCTTCTGCTTTCTGTCTCTGCTCTCTGTCTTCACACTCAATGAAATCCTTCATGTGCCTCTCCCGAAGCCTGCCAAGCACCGCAAGGGTCGCCACCAGCGCAGCGACAAGAGGCCGCACTGGAACCACGACTCCCGCGTGTGCGCACACGCAGATGCACCCCACGTGCAGACTGTGGGGCGCGCTGCGGGGCCCGGAGCTGCGCACCGCCGGGTGTGCGTTTTAACTCGGATATTTTAAATTATAAAATTAAGCTGGGAAACTAAAGCAAACGTGCGTCCTTGTGGGGCTCCAAGCCTGTGCACTGGCCGCCTGCGAGCACTCCTATAAGTGTGCATAACACCCCCTGCCAAGAAGCCTGCGTTAACATTTATCTCGTGGTGGAGTAGATGGAGGCCACACCCACACCTCCGCGAGCTGGAGTGAGCTTTAGTGGGGAAATGAATGTGGGGCACGGAAACACAATGTCCCGCATGGAGTCCCCAGGGGCAGTGCATTTTAAACCCTAAAGTGTGGATTATTCTGTGTGTCCGAGTGGAGTTTATATTCCGTTTTAAGAAGCTTGATGAGTGTGTGGGTGTTTGTGCGCACGGCTATGTGGGAGCAGGCAGAGGATCTTAGTCTTGGGGGTGTCCCTGGTGTGGGATGTCCTCCTCTTGCCAGATTAGGAGAGACTCCTCTAGCTCCCCAAAACTGGTCCCCGTAACTAGCCTGCCTCGGCTCCTAAGGGGTTAACTAAAGCCAATTCCGCATACATACACCCCCCCACCACAGTCACCCCCCACCCACACCCTTGCTTCCGACCCTGGCCACGCTCCCAAATCTCCCCGGGGGACCCCCTACCCCGCAGCCCACCCACCCGAACGCACAGCTCCTTACCTGAGGGGCCCGGCAGCTTCAGGCCTCCCGAGGGGGCTGCGAGTGTCTGTCGGACCTTCGCACGTGTCCACCACGGCGCCGAGCAGGTAACCCGCTCGGAGGAAGGAGTTACCAGCACTCTCTCCCGCGAAGGGGTGGGCACAGCGGCGGAGGGCGGAGGGACGTTGGAGGGACGGCGGAGGGCGCCGCCCGCGCCGCTCGCTGGGGGCGGACGGGGGCTGCGGGGCTCCGGCCGGGGCTCGGGGCCGAGCTCGGGAAGCAGCGGGGGCGGGGGCCCCGGAGGCAGACTCTGCCGGAGACCCACCCGGCGGCTGCGGGGTTAGGGGCTCGCTGCGCAGTGGCAAGCAAGTGTGCAAATTAAAGCCTTCCGGAGAGAGGGGAGGCGGCCGAGACCCGGCTGTGCTCTGAGCCTCTTAGCTCCCCAGCTCTCGGCTCCGAGTGGGGGGCGAGAAGGAGGGGGGGTAGTTAAATGAAAATTTCCGGCTTTCACTGCAACTGGAGTGAGGGATCTTGCAACTAAAATAAGAGGCGTGAGAGTACGAGTGGGATATGTCGTCGGGAGTCCGCGGAGTTTCCAAACCCAGGGTCGCCCAGAGTAGGGGTTTTGACAGAGTGAGGCGGGGGGATCTGCAGTCTGTGATGTGAACGGATGGAAAAAACACAACCAACCAACCACAATTATGAGGGGCCGGTGGGGATGGTAAATACCAACACTTTCCAAGAAACTGAAAAATCAGACCAAAAAATAACTCTTCTCTATTAAAAAAAAAAAAAAAAGTCTGGCAGGGCGCCTTGCAGAAAAGAAAATACTAATCTGTCCAAGCACTTTTCACTTTCAGCATGAGCTACATTTGTTTTGTTTTCCTTCGCTTCCTTTCGGCCTCACAAAGCCCTATCTTTTCCTTTTGGACAGAGGATAGGATTTGGAAATTGTCAGGCACTCTGTGGTTAACGATCTACTTGAAGGGGCTCACCGGTTCACAATTATTAAGTGGTTAGCAATTGCTGAGGGTTCACTAAGGTGTTTCTGGGGAGCTAAAAAGACTAAAATTTAATATAAATATTAGAATTGGAAGATAATAGACACACACACACAACAAAGAGGACAGAACGTGATTCAGTGGGTGCTCAGTTTAAATGCATTATTGGAATTCTGAAATTTGAAACCTTGTAAGAATGTACACTTTACCTGCTAGAAAACCTGAATACAATTATTGCAGGTGAAAATGAAATTTTGGACAAAAAAAAGTCTTCAAGACCCTACAATGGAGTAAAACAAAAACAAAAAAAGAAAGTTGTTTTTTTTTTAAGAATTCAGTGTTCTCTAAAGTCTGTATCTGTAGAATACTTGAAACCCCTTTAAACATCTTAAAGCAAAGTTAAAAAACATCTATTTATTTCAGAGCTCTGTGGAAAAATTGAAATCCAGCAAAATACTGTTTGAATGGGAAATATTACCTCTATAAATCTTTTGACTTTTTGAATTAAATCATGTTGCTAATGTCAGAATAAATCAAAATTTTGCCTTTATAAAATTTATTCTATACTACAGTGTGAAGTAACAGGTTAGGTAAATAAAAATTGTTGCATTTCCATTAGCAAATATTTTGCAATGCATTATAGTAATGTGTTGTTGAATGATAAAAGTGGATATTTGTGTTTCTTTATGCTTAAGATAATTCATAAAATACATTTTGTGTTCAGGAGCATGTCTTCTAAAATTCAGTTTCTGAACAAAATTTGTAAAGATATCTATAACCTCATATAGACTTAAGAAAACAAATTGTTAGATTTTGTATTTATATAAAATATTGGATCAGTACAAATCACTAATTAGACTTTAAACCAGAGATACAAATGAGAATCTTACATTTTTATAATTGCTACACTTATCAATGATTTTTAAAACAAGATTTACTTGTTGGTGACTAACACATTTATGTAATTTAGAAATAATTGTCAATAAATAGTCATAGGAACCAGCAAGTGATTGCAAGAATTTATTTGGGTAAATAATTTGTTTAAAAAATAGTAAGCCATAAATATCTTTAAAATTAAGAGAAAAATGTCCTTTCTACACTGGGTTGCATTTTTAATTACTGAATTTGACAACAACCATAGATGGATTTGAAATTCCATGATTTAGATCACTAGATCACTTGTATGAGGTAGAAAGAAAGAAAGAAACTTTATTTAATTATATACACTGAATGTTAACTCTATGTCATCTGCTTTCTCTGATACTGTTAATTTATCATTGTTCACTCTCTCTGGTTATGGTTCATATGAAATCCCAGTTGGTTAAAGCCTTAGACCAGGAAGTTTTACAATGGATTGTGTAAAATTAGTAAATACCAGATTGTTTTTGTTTATGGATAACTTCCTCTGTGGGTAACAGGTTATCATAACAAAATTTGTGCAAAGTTTATAAACTGTGAACCAAATTCCGACTCCTTTGTTTAGAAGTCTTTTATGAATGAATAGATAGCATTCAAGAATAATGATTTGCATGCCATGTATCTGATATCCTAAAGTTGTAAATCATTTACAGGTTTTTAAAAATTAGAACTCTGGATTTATCTTCAAATATGATGTTGTAGCTTATACAGAAAAATTTCCTAGTGTCACATAAGAGATGCAGTCTATGTGTGAACACTTCATATCAAATATCTGTAAACTTTTGTTTTTCCCTAAAATAAATTTAAAGTTCTGCTCTATAATTTGTAATCTTGTTTAAGGAATGAGTAATTTATTTAAAATTAGTAATTTTATAATGTACATAGAATTCTAAATCATCTCTGATTTATATTGGCTATTTGAATTTATAAAATGTATTTTCCAGAAACTTGGAAATAAGGTTTTGCTATAACCTACTACACAATAATTTTAACTGGAGGTCCATGTAAATGTATACTTTTAGTCTATAAAGATCTCCTGTTTATTGTTTTAATTAAAAAAACAACTTTTCTGGCTTAATAACTTCAAAATCAGTTACCCTTAGCTTTAACTTGATTTATATGAGTATGTAAATGTTATCTTTATTGAGTAATTACTATGAAAAACTATAATTTTAACAGAAATAGTATAACATAATGCAGTGCATTTTAGTGCATTCTTTCTTCCCCAGGCATTTCCAAATGTTTTCTTAGGTTTTCCCTTAAAATATTGAAAATGTACTCAATATCCTAGGAAAACTTAATTGTACTACCAACTTTTTCAATTTTAAAATTCTGATTTTTAAATGATTTTTAAATTCAATCTTCTAAATAATTACTTCCTGTCAATTTGGAAATGACCTGGAGTTTTCTCTTTTCTTGTTGCATGTGATCTAGTGTATTGCATTGAAGCAGTGAAACTTGCAAAGATTTTGATATTTGCCATGAGGGGAAAAAATATATCAGGTAGTAGCTTAAAAATTTAAGAAGAAAAAACCAGACATTATTATTTTTTTTGAAACTTTCCGTTTTCATGGGTCCTACTGTTCTATAATTATCCCTGGGCTCCCTCTGCAACATGTCAGTACTATGTTCATATTTGTATAATTGTCATCATATTTTCTTTTTTTCCCTTTTGATAGATACTCATATCTTCTTTGTCCTGTGTGTGTGTGTGTGTGTGTGTGTGTGTGAATACCTGTATGTTCTTAGCATATTGTCGTGACATGTTCAAAACGTGTTCTTAAAATCCTTTCATCATCTATATTAGTATTATGAGTAATCAGAAAAATAACCATGGACATACACTTATAATGAAATGCCTACATTTCCTTTTGATTTATAGTGCCCTATCGTTTTCACTGATTTCTAGCATTTCTTTTCTAAGATAATACTAGCATCTCAACTGTACCCGTGGCCTAACAATTGTGTTGCCATAGCTGCCTTCCGTTGAGCTAAACAGTGCGTCCGTGTTTTAGGTAGACTGTTCAGATGAAGCAGAGAAGTTACAACACAGTGGGGGGACATCATGATAAAGTGGGGTTTGGGAGGTAGGAGGAAGGGCAAAGAAAGGCACCTGAGAGAAACTTATGTGAATGGCCTGGCAGCAGGAGCAAGTAAAGAAAATACATGCCCAGGTCCCCGGGCCAAGCGATGTAGCCTCTGGGCTCTAAGTATGGAGTGTCCATGCAACCTAATTCTTCTAGAATGAACGGTGTTCTAGGTCTATCCTATTGTGCATTGAAATCTGTCTTCTTAAATGAGATTATATAATGTCTATGTCTATATTCATGTAACTATTTTAACTTGTCTCATTATGGATTCTTCCTAAAAATAATACAGAATGAATTCTTGGCAGGGTTCTTTGGATTTCTAGAGAAAGTATCTAATTGCGTAGCTGTGTGGATCAAACAGTTTTCCACAAATTGAAGAGAGAGTCCGATTTTCAAACCCTGTTAAAATTTGTCCAGTTACTCAGATCTTAGTGTCCTTAATACCTAGTACAGTAACTGGCAAGTATTTTATGTCCAATAAATGTTAGTCAATGGGAAGTTGGCTTTAGACCCTTCATCCCTCTCCTTTGGGGCTACTTCTTCCTATTTCCTTCAGAGAGATATATGGTAACAATGTTTTATGTAATGCCAGCAAAGTTTAAGGACCGGTGTGCTGATGTCCGGGCTTCAGAACCGTTTCTCCTCTACCTGCAGCTCCCTTCCTGTTAGCCCTCTCCTCTAAATCCGATCATCTTTTTAAGGCCCAGCTCTTAAAACCTAGGAGATTCCTTCAGCTGAACGACGTCCCTCCTGGCTCTGACTCCTTGAGGCCATCTGCTTTCTACTCCCCTTAAAAGCTCCATGCTCTGCTCTCCACCACCCTGAGCTCCCCAAGTGCGTCCACCGTGCCTTGTTCCCCTTGGCCATGATCCAGCTCCCGGCTGTGCCATCTGGCCATAGTAGGTGGTCAATGAAGGCAGCAATGGTTCTTGTCTCTCTGCATGAGTGTTACGGAATCAAGCAGACACAGACTGACTGGAACAGCGTGGCATAACTAGAATAACACGTGAAAAGTTGAGGACAGTGTTCCACTTAGCTTAAACAGGAAAGAACCAGGTCATCCTGTTACTTGGTGTGGATTTGTTATGTTTTCTCTTGTGTTGCAGATATTGGTCATTGAAAACATTTTTGTCTGAAAGAAAATATGTTCAGAT